CAACTTCTTAGCTTCCCTAATAGGAATCCTAAAGATAGAGAGAAAATAAACCGGTAAATTTGCTAGGGTAGCTCTCAATAAAGTCACTCGACCCCTTATGGAAATGTAGTTCTTTTTCCAAGAAGCTAATCTTCTCTCAAACTTTTCCAGAATTGGGGTCCAAAATCTCCTTTGGGTTAGCCCCTAGAGGGAGACCTAGATACTGCAAAGGCCAAGAAGAAATGGGACAACCTAAACAATCCGCCACAGACTGCAAAGTCCTCTCATTTAGATTAACCCCTACCACACAACTCTTATCCAGGTTTATCTTCAAATTGGAGACATTCTCAAAGTGTTGTAACAATGCTTTGAGATTTCTCACTTCCCGCCTCCCACCCCCTTCACAAAAAATTATGATATAATCGGCAAACTGCAGGTGGGTTACCCGGACATTGTTCCTTCCAATCCTGCAGCCTCTAACTTCCTCTTCCCTATCTGCTTTAGAGATTAATCTACTGAAGACATCTGCAACTAGAGTAAAAAGAAAAGGGGAGAGGGGGTCACCTTGTCTAAGGCCTCTACAAGCTAGGGAAAAAGTCTTTCACCACCCCATTAACCAAAACGGAGTAATGGCAGGAAATAATACAGCCCTTTACCCAATTGGACCATCTATCTCCAAACCCATAGCACCCTAGGACCTCTAGTAAAAAGCTCCAATCCACAAGATCATAAGCCTTCTCCAAATCTAGTTTACAAACGAAACCTTGGGTTCCTGACTTTCTCATGTCCTCCACACACTCATTTGCTATTAGGATCTGATCCATTATTTGCCTTCCCTACACGAAAGCACCTTGTTCTTGACTGATGATGGAGGGTAGTATTACTCGGATTCTCAATGACAACACTTTAGCCATAAACATATTTACATTAAGAAAAAAGAAAATATACACTACAGTAAAAGGGTGTATACCCCATCATGAGTACAAAAGTACCACCTAGCCCAACCATCCCAAAGATATGACTCATACAATACCCACTACCTACCTAAAAGAATTGGCCCCCAATACAGATCCACATCCACCCAATTACCCCTTCTCTACCAAACTTATCTGATAAAGTTTTGTCTGAAATTTTATTTCATCTGAACAATGTGTCTATCTTTCCTAATTGAGTAGCAGTCACCACCCCTTCCAAGCATTCACCCCATCACCACCCATGAATCGCCTATTCACCTTAAACCTTCATTTATCAAAAAAAAAAAAAAAAGAAGAAAAAAGTAAAGGGAAAAAGTGGGGCTCAAAGAGGAGAACAAGTGCAACCCTTGGAGAATATATAGAAGTTCATCTGGAAAAAAGGATAGATGGAAGGGTGTTTAGATTAGTGTAGGTTATGGGGATGGAGTTCTTTTATGTGATTGCAAGGTTAGACACTTTAGTCAGAAGAGGAGATTTTTGCCTGTGGTGCTTGGGCTGCAAAGCTTTTACACTTCTTGTATACTTTCTTCTATCTTTACTTCCTTTGTTATGAATTTTTATTTACTATCTAAAACTAGGTAAAAGTCCATTTTGATTGAAGTTCCCATTTCCTATAGGTTCTCATTATGCCAATAAGATCTCTCCATAATACTCATAAAAAAGATTTCTCCTTTGTAATTCTTTTCTTCTCCTTGCATACATGACCTTTATGCATTTCCAATATAGCAGCCATCAAAATTTAAATTAAGGTAGTTGGAATCTGATGCGTGTCGGTGCGACTGACTTGGCAAGATGAGAAAACATGGACTTGTGGACATGTCTAGACATGACTATGGAAAATTATATACTATTAAAATGGTTAGTAATGTTTGATATTAAAAATGGCAGTCATTTTGTACATTAATCATTCATTTATGCCAAATAAGCTAGGAGATAAAAAGGAACTGTTACATAAAAGTGTCCTCAAGAATCCATGGAGTGTCAGATTTTGATGTGTGTCTGATCCCTTATACATACCCTGACATAGACATGTTGTCAWTTTAGGAGAGTCTATGCAACACCGGGGGGCTCAATAGATGCTCTGCCACATATGGCTGCTCTCACTTGGTATGATAACTGAGAAAATAAATACTTTAAAACACTAGATAAAGTTTTGGGAGATTAACAACCGAAAAGTAACTTCTAACTAGCCTTGCAAAGAAAGCACCTATGGTGAGCAAGAGCCCAAAGTAGTCTCTTCTTACGTCAGATGTGAGAGGTGCTTATTTTTAGGCCATATTCCCCAAGCATCGTGAGCATCTGACAAGTGGCAAGCAAGGTTTATTTCATATCCATCTGGACCAAAAAATACATCATCCGAATTGGTGAGAATAGCAACTACATCATGATCTTCCCTGTCCCTTGGTACTCAAAATACCATTTACTCTTTCAGAAAACCTAGAATCCCATCTCTGTTGATCTAGACCTAACACCTGCTGCTCCAGTAGATGCTTAATGCTATGGTGGTCTGTCCTAACGGTAAACCTTTGACCCATGAGGTACGCCCTCCACTTCTGGACGACTAGGGTGATGGCCATTAACTCCTCATAAGTGGACTTTGCCTGAGCCCTTGGTGACAAGGCCTTACTTTAATAGGCCAGGAGTTGTCCTTGCTTCATAAAGATTGTCCTAATACCCTTACCCGATGCATCAATCTCCACTACAAAATCCCGGTTGAAGTCTGGTAATGCGAATGTGGGTGGGCTAGTGGTGTGTCCGGAAGCGTGTTGTTAACCACTTTGGAACACCGGTTTCAATATTCATAAATTTTCCGATTCTCAAAATAACTACAAAACGCAGTTAGTGGTGAGAAAGGGGTTGTATCCACAAGGAAGCGAGGGAAAAATTGTTACGTACTTCAA